CACTAAATTTAGTGGGAGATTTAGGACAGCCATTTTTCTCTTCTAGTTGAAATTAGTGGCACTTGTATAGTTTAACCCAGTGTTGTCCAAACTTGGCCACTTTAAGATGAGTGGACTTCACCTCCCAGAATTCCCTAGCCAGCATGGAGAGAGAATTCTGGGAGTTGAAGTCCACTCATCTTAAAGTGGCCAAGTTTGGACAACACTGGTTTAAACTATACAAGTGCCACTAATTTCAACTAGAAGAGAAAAATGGCTGTCCTAAATCTCCCACTAAATTTAGTGAACATTAAATTTGGTTCTTTAGAATATGGACCATTTATTTATTATTTGAAATTATTATAGCCATCTAACTCTAACATATAGAGTGTGTGTGTGTGTATTTTAAATCCAACATCTTAAAATGTTAAATAGAAGATTATAGGTGGGTCATGCAAAAAAATGGTAAGTTCTATTGCTTTGCTTTGCTTCAGCAAACCGTAGCATTCTATGTTTTATTTCACATTATTCCTCTTTCTTATGCTTTCACATAGTCCCAAGAAATCAGGTAGCATGTATTTAGTTTTTTCTCTAAATTGTTTTTCCCCAAAATATATTCTGAACATCTGCGAGCCTTGGGCTTTTCCCAGACCCTCTGATATTTTCCATGTCTGCATGAATGACACTCTTGTATGTAAGCAATTATGTTCACCTCACAGTAGAAATAGAGATAGCAAAGGGACAGTATGTTGCAGCAAAAAATGTTTGGTCAATATTTCAGTTAGCCTGCAAGGTATGTTTTCAGGATTTTCTAATATATTACCTCTCTTCGCCATTTTTTCATTTCTTGTTCAACTGTCACTGAAAATTAATACTATAATTAATAATAATTAAATGTATAAGGCCACCTAATCACACGTAACTCAAGGTGGCATACAAAGAGAATTAAAAGTACATGATGACAATAAAATGAGTGGAACAGAAGTACCCAAGAACCATGCCTGGGGTATTAGAACAACTTAAACATCTAGGTATATTCCAGCAGGTTCACAAATTGCCCCAGCTGGAAGAGCCAAGTTTTTAAAGCTTTGCGAAAGGACAGCAGGGTCTGGACCATAGGAACTTTAGAGGAAGTGCTATTCTAGAAGGTAGGAATGGTGACGGAAGCACGCCTCCCATAGACAAGGGGACCCACAGCATGCCAACCCTGCCTTCAGTGGTCATTGAACAGACTTGATATTTCCAGGGCTATTTTTAAATTCCTTGCTATTTCCTCCCTTTAACTTTTCATGGAATATTCGGCAGACTTTATCTCTTTTGGATGTGGGCATGAATGTTGCTGTTTGATTATGTCAAGAATAGCATTTGGAGAATTCACTAGCGGTATAATAGATTATCAGTCTTGAAAATAACATGGAAGCCTAATGTGATTTGCAGTAAGACAGCTCTTTTTGCTTGTTTCAGCAACAACATTTCCAGATAAATATTGTTTCCTGCATGGCTGTAGTAAAAGATTTCTTTTTTGCCTTTTAGCCAGTGGCACGGCCTCCGGTACCAGCACATCAGGTTCCTCCCTACAAAGCAGTCTCAGCCAGATTCCGCCCCTTCGCCTTTTCTCAGAGCACACCCATTGGTCTGGATAAAGTTGGGTGTAAGCGTCAAATGAGAGCATCCAGCGGTGAGTTTCATTTGGCATGAAAGAAGTAAATATACCCGAGAATATTCAAAAGTTCTATTGGCTGTCAACACCCCACTTTGGAACTCACTTCTGTAGAAATTCCTCTTAGCACTGTCTTCTTCAAACTGATTTTCAGTTTGAATTTTTTCTTCTGTACCCTCAGAATTAGAGTTTTAGAAGTTTGTGCTATTTTAATGTTTGTATGTTTGCTAAACCTCATTATTTAAAATGCTACTTTAATGATGTAGATTGTAGTTACAATTGCAAGGCTCTGTGTTCTTTTAGCAAGACAATTTTATTTTAAAAATGCAATGAAGTCATCTATGCTCCACATATGGTATTTTAGACTGGAGATTTAAATTCTTTTTACTAGATGCTACCAGATTGTCTTAAACTATGAGCTATTCTTAAGGGAATTTTAAGTAAAAAAATAAGGAAAATACCAGGTTACCAACCCCTATGTGTGTATGTTGTATGTGCATGTAGGTACATCTCTGTGTTCATATATACACACCTATATAAGCTATAGTGTGCGTATTAGGATAACATTACTATTCTATTCAAAATAGAAAAGATTGCTAGAATACTGTTTTGACTACAATTACATTACATTTACATAGGCATGCAAAATGAGTGTGGTTTAGTTTGGTGTTTCCAACCTACCAGTTTCCTTATTACATTATCTTTTTTCCTGCTGGAAATAAGCAGTCAGCACAATAATTTGTTTTTGAACAATAACAGCATACAAGTCATTTTACATATTCTTATATTCCTGGTTTCTTCTTGTTCTTCTTGTTTTTAGCTGCTAGTTGATGGATTGTGTGGAGTTCTTGGTGCTCTCTGAGCTTGGTTGTTCTCTTGCAGACATTTCATTACCCGACTAGGTAACATCATCAGTGCTAGTGAGTGTGGGGTTTGCTCCCTTTTATTATACAGTAGCTTGCCCTGCCAGTGTTGGTGGGAGTGTGGTTTTTCTT